CAACCAAATACCACCACGGCCATGGAACCGTATCACCAAGCACTACATCTGCTTTTCTTTGAGCACCTCCAGGGATGGTGACCACCACCACCCTGGGGAGCTGTGCCAGGGCCTGACAACCCTTTCTGCGAAGAAATCTTTCCTAATATCCAACCTAAACTTCCTGGTGCAACCTGAGGCTGTTTCCCCTTGTCCTAGTTGCCTGGGGGAAGAGCCTGATCCCCACACTGGCACCCACCTCCCATCAGGGAGTTGTAGTGTGAGAAGGTTCCCCTGAGCCTCCTTTTCTCCATGCTGAGCCCCCACAGCTTCCTCAGCCACTCCTTGTGCTCCAGACCCTTTCCCAGCCCCATGCCTTTCTCAGGACACTCCCCAGCACCTCAATGTCCCCTGGCCAGGGAGGATAGAAAGGAACAGGCCACGCTTCAAACTGAAAGGTCACTCTCAGTTGGGCCAAGAGAGGAGGGAGGGCAGGACATGGCCTGGACAGAGACCTTCTCACCCCACTTCCCTGATTCCACCTAGCACAGGGAGGGAAGCAGCAAGAGCTGCTGCCTTCATTGCAGGGCTCACACCAACACCGCGGCAGAGACTCCACAGGCCGGACCGTTCCCAGCTACTGCCACATACTACCCAGAGAAGAGAAAGATCAGGAGGAAGAGAATGGAAGAGAGGAAGGCAGAGGAAGGAGCCTCCAAGGGGCCAGGAGCCCAAGCGGTCTCACCGTTGTCCTGGATGATGCGCTTGAGGTAGTCAGCCATCAGCGTGCGGAGCGCCCGTTTGTAGGGCAAACCCAGCCGGTGGGGAAACACGATGGCCGTGTCCACCACGGTGCCGTGGATCAGCTGCAGCAGGGACAGCAGACAAACAGCCTTATTTCCCACTCCCACAGGGACAGGCACTCCTCAAGGATTAAGCAATGCTGCAGCACCCTCTGGTCAGCCTCTTGGGCTCTGTACCATGCTGTCCCAACCCAACCAGTCTTGCAGGAGGCTCTGGCTGGATCCTGGATGACTTCCCCCCTGGAGTGCACACAGGCTCCCACTGCCCTGCCAGCCAGCACACCTGCCCTCACAGCCCTACCCACCTGTACACTCAAGGCAGCAGAGATTCAGGGCTGATTGAGTGTGTGTAACTCAAGGAACAGACAGGTCAATCCTCAACATCCCAGCCAGGAGGGGCTGCAATGGCTCTGAGAAGCTTTCACTGTTAAAAACTGAACTGAGGAACCAGCAAGCTTGTAACAGCCTTTCATTCTTCTCAACATGAAGCAGCTCAATCCAGTGAGTGGCATCCCTGCCCATGGCAGGGGTGGAACTGGATGATCTTCATGGTCCTTCCAACCCAAACCATTCTGGGATTCTAAGATGTGGACAGAAGCGGGAAGGATGTGCAAGACACAACTGTACCTGCCCCAGTGAACACTCCACTGCTGCTACAGAACAGACCTGACTTTCAAGGTACAAACCAGCCTGAAATCCTCCTGTCCATCAGCAGTGAGTCAACAGGAAGTCTTTAATGAGCACCAGCTCAGCAAGGATGAAATGGGTAAGGATCTGAATCATATCAAGGAATGGTTTGGGTTGGAAGGGACTTTTGAAAGGTCTTCTAGTCCCACCCCCTGGAATGGGCAGGGACACCTCCCACCAGCCCAGGTTGCTCCAAGCCCCATTCAATGTGGCCTGGCACACTCCCAAGGATGAAGCTCTGTACAGCTGCTGCGTCCAACCTGTGCCAGTGTCTCAGCAGGGTGGAATTCCTTCCCAATATTCCATCTAACCCAGTGGGAAGCCATTCCCTGTGTCCTGGCCCTCTATCCCTTGTCCCAAGTCCCTCTGCAGCTCTCTTGGAGCCCCTTTAGGCACTGCAAGGGACTCTGAGGTCTCCCTGGAGCCTTCTCTTCTCCAGGTGAGCACCCCCAGCTCTCCCAGCCTGGATCCAGGGCAGAGCTGCTCCAGCCCTCTAATCTGATACTCTAGGTATGAACTGTCATCACACTGGAGGACCTGAAGATGCTCCCTCCTTGGCACCGAGGGGCCTGAGGACAGCTAGAGTCCAGAAACACAGGGTAGGCTGGCTTATTTTAACTCTAATTTCTTACTCTCAGGCTAAGACAAGATTAATCTTCTGCTGTCAAGAATTGTGTTCAGTGAGTTCTAAGGAACCACGGCTGAAGGCAGTACCACAGCTTGAGTGCAGGAATAAAGTGCAGAGTCTAAGAGATAACCCCGTGTGCCTGACCAAGGCTCTGCAAGCCTTGACATGGGATGACTCAGACAGGGCCCTGATAATCCTGTCTCCTTGTCTGCCCCAGCTCCTCCAAGGCACCAGCTCATGCTGCATGACACTCCCCAACTCCACCATGACCAATTCCACAGCTCCAAAAGCACCTGAGAACAGCTGCACTTTAACAGAAACAACCTGAGATACTCTTCGGAGCACAGAACTGCCAACGTTATGGATAATCTCTCCTAGACTGCAGTCAGCCTTGGCACCCACCCAGGCACAGTGGTAATTACTTATGTAGATCAGGAAGACTGAGGAAACAGGATAATAAAGCCTTAAATAAGAACTGCAATGCTATCACCATTTGGAGCTTGCCACAGCCATTAGTGAGATGTCAACTTCGCTGCCACAGTCCTGAGCTATTGCAGCTTGACATGCCACTGCCTGTCATGCTCTGCTCGAGGGCTCTGGGTGCCTCCTCTTGGCAGGGGCTGTGGTGCCGAGAGAAAATCGTGGCTCTAAGAGGCCAACACAGTCATCTTGTGCTGACAAAATTGTAAATAATGTTTTTATGATGATGGTGATGAAGTCTAGCCAAGGCTGGGCTAAAGGGTGCACAGAGAGGTAAAGCATTTTGCAGGCATTAAAACCTCCTGCCTCCAATCCAGCACCGTGAGCTGGCAGCCAGAACTGCTTCTGCATGGGAGCTGTGGGACACAGAGCAGCTGAAGGCAGTTCTGGCCTGTGAGCACAGGGTAAAGACCTGGCTCCTGCCTGCTGCACAGTCTCTTGGTGGCTCTGGACAAGCCCCCGAGGTGCACGTGCAGAGTGCAAGGGCAGGGGACAGACCTCCCTGGCAGGACAGCAGAGGTGGCTGAGGCATATGCAGACCAGGCTGATGGGGGCTAGGCAGGAAACAAGACAGATAAAGGGTCAAAATAGCTTGATCAAAGCCACACCACAAACCCCACAAAGCAGGCAGAGAACCTCAGACATTTTCACAGCAGAGTAACCATGGGAATCTCCAGGGGCAGAGAGAATGAAGCATGTCTTGTTTCTAGCACAACTCCTGTGGGTATGCAGAGGGCACAGGGGACTCCAGAGCCTCCTCCATTCATGCCCTGACCCTGACTCATCCTGGTCAAAGGATGTTGACACCAACAGAGGATTCTTGACTATATGCCAGGGGTGAAAGGCAAAAGGCCTGAGATCACTCATGGAATGGTTTGGGTTGGAAGACCCTTTAAAGGCTATCTAGTCCTCCCCTTGCCATGGGTAAGGACACCTCCCACTAGGACCAAGTTGCTTCAAGTCCCATCCAACCCAGTGTGTCACCCTGAGCAGCACCAGTCACTGGTGGAGTGGGGGCACCGTGGGCTGGTGTCGAGCAGGTTGTCAGGACCCACTCCCTGCTCCTCCACCACAGCCAGGATCCCACCAGCTCAGACAGATCTACTGTGTCCTACTGTCCCCTGGAGACCCCGAGTTCCCAAATTTAAAGGAGACATATACCACCCCGAGGGTGAGAAAGCACCAGAGGGAGGTGTAAAGGCAGGACACCAAGTTACCTTGAGTGCAAATAAGTCGCTTTCCAAGCTGTGCCCTATCAATATGGTATCTGCACTGAACATGTTCAGTAGGACGGCTTGGACATCTCGCAGGGTGATGCTCGTGTTCTCCAGGTCCTCCTCTGTCACACCTGAGAATCTGCAGAGCAAGCAGAGACAGGTGGGACTCCTTCAGCAGAGAAACACCTCAAGGCCCAAAGCACCTCAGCCATTAGGATGTGGTGGCCAGTGGAGGTTCACCAAATGCTCACACCCACCACTCAAGGTCCTGGCAGAGCAGAGCTCTGGCCCAAGGAAGACCACCTTTGCCTGGTGTTATAGTCCTCACCTGGTGTTATAGTCCACCACCTTGGAATCTGGTTTGACGAAGGTGTCGTACACCACCTTCAGGTCTGAGTTGATCACAGTTACTCTTGTCAGCTCCAGTCCTTGCTTAGTGTAGCACTGCAAGGGACAGGGCATATGTGAAGAGAAGCACACACCATGCACCATGTGGGACCAACAGAGCCCTTCACCCAAGTGCTGCAGCTCCCAGCATGCAGCACACCCAGGGCAGCGTGGCCAGTCAGCAAGCACTGCTCGGTGTGGGCCAGCTGCAGCCTTTCCCAGGGGCTGCCACCCCCAAATCACACTCATTAACAAGAGCTAGTTTGCATGCACAGGAGACATCATTTAGAGTCCAGAGCAGAATGGAAAGAAGATGGCCGGGAAGCAGAGCTTTCCTTCAGCCCCTGTATCACAGCCTTGGCCTTCCCCCCAGAGCTTTCTGTGGCTGTGCACTGGACCCACCATTTCACAGTCTAAGGCATAGATCCCAGGGTAGCCATCAGTTGTGGGCAGCTTCTCAAAGGTCTTCACAAAGCCATCCAGGCTCTCCTTTCGCCCATCGTGGACATGTTGCTTGAAGAGAAAAAAAGGGACAACTGATGATAGGAACAAAAATCCACAAAGTCAACTGCAGTGAACCTCCCACTTGAAGAAAAAGGTTTTTGCATCATTTCTAAAGGTTAATGAGAACTAAGTTTTGTCTAGAGAGGGGCTGAGAAGTTCACAAGAGCAAAGACAGCCATGTGGCTGGTGGCATCATACCGACAGTGCATGGAGGAACAGGACATCACATGGGTGGGACAAGGAGCTTTCAACTTTCAATCTGGAGTAGAACAGCTCAGGAAGGTCACACTGAGGTCTTACACGGCTCTATCTCCAGCTCCTGATTCCTGTGGCCAAGACACGCCCAGGTGCAGAATTCTAATCCCAGACATCCTGTGTGAGTACCACAGCCTACGGATGCCAGGAGAAACTGGTGTAACCAAGTACCAGAGCATGTTAACATGTGCCTGCACTGCTGTATTCCAAATCCAGCAGTCCACAGGCAAACAGGAGCTACAGCCTACCAGCACTTGAGGCAACAGAGAGTATTCCCAGCTAAAGCTCTGGGGTCAACAAGATCCAGCAGGAAGTCATTTCACAAGTGGCTTAAGCCAATGCATGACTGAGCTGCTGTTGCAACAGGCACTCTCATGCTCCACTCCTCCACAGCCACAAATCCCACCCCACTTGGTTATCCTTCCCGGTAAGCCTTCCTTCTAGCAGGAATTCTAAACTGGATGAAGGTTAAAGGGGAAGCAGGAACAGGGCAGGGCAGAGGCTACAGCTGCCCTTTTGCTCACTGACATGGTTTTAGGTCAAATTAACTTGTGGCACCACACCCAGAGGTGATGCTCTCCCTCCCTTGCTTCCCAGTGGGGCTTTTTGTTGGGTTTGTGTGCCCTAAATCTCAGTTTGTGCTCACAGCAGCCTGTGCACAGCCTCCTGCACCAAGCTCAGAGTCACAG